TATACCAGTTAAAAAACTTTAGTTTTAGAAATACATATATTGAGATTAGTATGTACTTTAATAATGATTTGTATGTAAAATAAGTATGTATGTACCTAGATGACGACTATCCGCTATCCATATTACGCGCAGTTCGTACTACTAATATTTTATTATCTGCAGAATGCTGAGTTCTTAACGCTCACCTATGGTGCGCTTGTAACTCAAATGCTGCGTGATTTCGAGAATGTTGAAGATGTAAATAAACAACTTGAACGTATAGGCTATAATATGGGCATGCGTCTAATAGAAGATTTCTTGGCACGAACATCAGCACCTCGCTGCTTAGAAATGCGCGAAACAGCGGATCGCATACAACAGGCGTTTCGCATGTACTTAAATGTGCAACCGACTATTTCTAACTGGTCTGCATCCTCGGATGAGTTTTCGTTAGTTTTTGAAACAAATCCTCTAACGGAATTCGTTGAATTGCCCCAGGATTTGACCAACTTGCGTTACAGTTCCATACTCAGTGGCTGCATACGCGGTGCATTGGAGATGGTACAACTGGACGTGCAGTGCTGGTTTGTTCAGGTATATGACGGATGGTATAGATGACACTCATTCATACACACAATTTAATTTAAGGCAATGTAAAACAAAAAATGATTAAATTTCAATATTTGAGATGATGTTTAAAATAATTAAAGAATGTTAGATGCATGCATACCCTTGCTTGCAACTTTAAAGCTAAAAGCTAATTTTTAAGCTAAATCTTTAATTTAAATATCACCTTTTACTCTTGTTCACGACAGGATCAACTAAAGGGTGACAATGTGACAGAGCTTCGAATTAAGTTTGTACGCCGCCTGGAAGATGCTATACCTGCTGGTGAGGACTAAAAGAAACGGTAGCGCCTAAGCTTTGAGTATTTTTTATATTAAGTTATTCATAAAAATTTAGTAGCATTCCTGCCTTTCATATTGCTGCGCGAAATGTTAAGAAGATATCAATTGTTCGCGGTTTTTTTAAAATATGGACATATTTACATATTGATAAAATAAATTTTTGGTGGACCAACAAGAACTTATCTCTTTGATTAAAAGTAAATTCGGGTACAGTGAAAATTCGTTAATCGGATTAACTACTTTCAATAAACATAACCCATTTGGCACAGAAGAGACACGACTGTCATGCCATGCTGAAATCGGCCAAAATCGTTCAAGCGGTTATAACGCCAATCTCGAATAAGTAGACAATTTATAAAATTACTTATGAAAACCAAACAAGATAAATGATGTATCCAATTTTCGTGGCCAAGCCAGAATTGATAATGAGTGCTATGAATATAACCATTCGGACTATCAAGTTCGGACTGCAGGTATTATCAGGGACGATTTATTTAATGAAGAAGTTTTATGAGATTTATAAAGATTGAATCAGATCTTTGGAAATTACATCCTATTATAGACGACGGCCGCTGAGGTAAGAAGTTAGAGGTGCGTACTACCATTCCATAGGACCTGCGTTCAATCCTTGGTCCAGCAACATGTAAATTGGAAAACCGTTTTCTAACAGCCATGCAATGGCAAACCTCCGAGTGTATTTCCGCGTCGAAAAACCTTCTCATAAAATCCATTTGCCGTTCGGAAGCGGCATAAAACTGTAAGACCCTTCATTATTGTAACGACATCAATAGGCACATCAGAAATCGGGAGATTTTTTTTTATTATTATAGATGTATGTGTGTATGTATTAAAATGGTTTCAGATTTCTATTCAATTCAACGCGAGTTGAAAAATTTCAAGTCGCCCATTAGGGCGCTTGCGGTCACGATTATGCTTGAAGCTTTCACACCCTGCTATACCTACAAATACGTAGCGTAAGCCCAGAAATTAAAACATTTTATTGAAATTATATTCTTTTTATTAAAAGCAAATATTTCAACAAATTACAAAGCGATTCACTATTAGATATATTAATACAAAATACAGGCACTATTTTTTTGTTGGCTTTTTCCTTAAAACTAGAAACGAAAAAAATAAAACACTCAAGTACTTTGGCTTATAAGATGCATTGATACATACCAATTATTATTATTATAAAATATGTATAACACATCGTTAAAACTGCAATACCAGATGGCAGAGGGCACAATATAGGTGACGAATATATGTATGCATGTATGTATAATTTCTAACATTTCGTTTTTATTTAAACACAAAGCAAAGATTTAAAATTTAGTTTTTACCCATTTCTTTTGTCTTAAATGTAATTGTACATAATTATGGCATTTGGAGACATATGTATATGTATGATGTAGGTGTCCACAATTGAATCGGTTCGATATGAAAATTTTGATGCAGTTCGGTGCATAAAATTTGCCATATCAGTAGAATGCTGACTTATTCCCTTTGGTAATTAACCGATTCAATTATAAATTTGTCATCTGCGATATGTATGCATGTGTGTATATTCATACATATGTATGTAGACAATCAAGCCAATTTATATCGAAACTAGCTAATCCATTAATTTGAATAATAAAACACAAAGACTTTGATTATTTACTTTAATCATAATTTTAAAATACAGCAATCACGTAACTGCATTTTTTTTTTAATTGAAAGCAGCCTTGTGTCAAATATTTTGGGCATATTGAAATTCGTATGTAAATGTTATTATAAATGAATGGTTTAAAATTGTATAAATTTGAATATAAAAATCTTGTAGACATTTAATAAAATATGCCAACACGAATATTAAATTAATGGGCGAGTGCAAATCTTAAACTTAGGAACGAACTTAAACCACCAACACAATATTCAGGCAGGTTCTGCAATTCACTTCCGAGAGAATTTTAACCAAAGCCACTCTGAATTAAAAATGAATGGGGTTGAAATTCACTCAGAAGTGAATTGCTGAACCTGTCTGTTATTTTTATGTATTTGGGGAAAAGGGTTAAATAAGCAGGTTCATGAATTTTTTCTGGGTTACGATCAAACTTTTTTTCAATTTTCATAATGTAGCTTTTTAACCGACTACAAAAAAGGAGGAGGTTATCAATTTGTCGATATATTACCGCATATCTTTGGATCACGCTAACCGATTTCTATAACTTATTTTAAAGGAAAAGGAAAAGATGGTACCTCAAAGGTGATCCCATACTTCTTTGGTTTAGATCCGATCATTGGATCATGAAGAAATTAACGGCAATCTTAAATTTGTATATGGGAATCGAAGTCGGTTTTGTTTTTTGCTTAAATATTACTTGTTTCATTCAGCTATTGTTTTTAGTTTTCAATCATGTTATTTTTTTTTTTTACTTGTATAGTTAAATACTCTGTTAAACAGTATAAAAGTTACAGTAAGTCGGTTAAAATAACTTGTATTTAAAAGCAAATTTTCTTTGGCGTTGTTGGGTAGGTTATTTAGCATATTTATAGATTTAATAATGCTTGATTGTCCTTCGTCCCTGCCGATTTTTAATTCTGGCTTTGCGGGCACACCATTAAATTCAAATTTTTTCGCGTCAACACACGACGCAATGCCTGCAGAGTTTTTGTACAAATTACGACACAACAGCCATTAGCAACACCCTCAGCCGGGCTTTTACATGTGCAGGAAGCACTCTTAAGGGATTTTGGCGGTGGTGCTTTCTTGCTGGTATGAGCAGGATCGGACGTATTTGTCTTATTAGCGCAGCAATTACTATTATTGCTGCCTGTTGAAGCCGTTTGGTTTGTCGCATTAGCTGTACCACATCCTCCTGTTGTGCTCTTATCACCACCGCAGCAGCCGCCGCCGCCGCCGCTCCCAGTGCCGCTACCCATGGCAGCTAAGTTCTGCAACAGCAAGGCCACATCTTCAATATTTTGATTGATATCAGTTTCGCGCTTCGTCGCTGCGCGTTCTTTCTTATCGTTACAAGAGTCCTTGCCGCGGTAGACATTTTTCGGTTTGACATGCGGGCCCATCTCCACCTTTTGCGTTCGCATCTGCTGCTTATGGTGCTGACAGCATTTATGCGTGCCATTTCCTTTTTTGCCGCATGGCGCGTCATTACTGCAGCCACCTTGACAATCCTGCGTTTGGTCGCATTTGCAATTCGTACAGCCACAAATGCCAGCATCTGCGGTTATTTGCTTCAAAGTAGGCTTGTCGCTCCTTAGATCGACCTCTATTAGGCCCGATGCATCTTCAGGCACTTGCTTTGCCTGTTGTAAGGTCTCCTGCAGCAGACGTGTATTGTTATCGATGGTCATTAATATTTCATTTAAAAGTGATTCCGTTTCCATGTCTTCTTCATCATTATTGTATTGTGTGTCCTCTTTCAAAAGTTCTTCAATACTCGCCTGAGTCGGCATCATATCCATCGGCTGGTCCACTGATATGAGCGGTGCAGCGATCGCAACTCCAACTTCATTTGCCGTCTGCGTTGTTGCAATAATGCTATTATTAGCATCTATGTCCATTTGTGTATCCGGCATTGCTGGCATTTGATTTGTTGGTGCGTTAGGTAAATCTGTTGCTGCTGATTTGTATGTACCGCAATGATCGCTGATGCCCAAATAATCGCAAGGATCGGTAGATTCTGACAAATTCGACATACCACTATCTATCATCGTTGCAGTATTGCTTATAATCGCAACTTCTGCCTTCCCATAGTTGCCGTAGTTTTGCTGTAAATCGACAAAGCTCGGCACCACAGTGGGTAGAGCTACGCATGCGTTGGTTACCGGTGCCATTGGCACGATTGGTTTCGAAATCAGCACACCAGCATCCACCCACGGTGCGGATATTTCTTCCTCAGCAGCAAATGCCAACTGCAGCGCATGCGATGTTTCCGGCAAAGATAGTGATTCAATTTTCGGAGCTGGAGTAGTTGGCGTTGAATTCCGCACCACTGGCAATTCCACAGAAAATGGATCTGTGGCGCTTAATTCAACCGACTCCGACTTGATGAAGCTATCGCTGCTGAGCGATGGTAAACTTCCATCACTTGTTGGATTATTCATGCGAGACGAACTGTCCTCTCTTTCCTCTTCTCCGTTCGAGGTGTGCTCCTCATTGTAGCCGCTGCTATCACTTTCCACTTTAATTGCTCTTTTTCCTTCAGTATTTTCCTTTAAAGTCGCTTGTTTACGCTCCTTTTTCATCTTCAAGCGACGCTCCTTATTGTTCACCGAGTTACCGGGTTGACGTCTACCGCGTTGTTTCTGATGTGTTTTCTTGTGCGATTTTAAGCTGTGCGAAGTGCTGAAAGACTTCTGACAACTGGTCTCCTCACATGGGTATGGTCGTTCGCCGGTATGTGTGCGAATATGTGTTTTTAGGTGATGTGAAGCGGTAAAAGCCTTGCCACAAGTGTCTTCGGGACATTTATAGGGTCGTTCTTGGGTATGGGTGCGCATATGCTTCTTCAAGTCGCTCAATGTGGTAAAGCATTTTTGACAAATTTCACAATTGAATGTTTCACCGTTATGTAGTCGCAAGTGAGCTTGCAACCTGTATTGGGTAAAATATTTAGTAGTTATTTACTTATTTTAAAGATATCAATGAATGCTATCTTCTAGTATAAAGTTTTAGTTAGAAATGTGTGCAAACTATGTATGTACAGTGGCTCAAAAAAGTTACCGCGTGTTGATTTTTTTTTAATATTTATAATGCTTTTGGAGTTAAATTTTGTTTGTTATATTTCTATAAAAAATATTGTCGCAAGCTTTAACCATTGGCTGGCTGTAAAACTACATACCCAAAAATAGTCCAATGATTCAGATTAAAATGTTAAAATTTTGATAAAAATTTGTTGAATTTTCCTAAATTTTATATAAAGTTTAGAACCGTGGTTTATATGGTTTTGGTTTAAGCTTGGACATAATTTTTATAGAAAAATAAAAACATTTATAAAAAATCAACACGTGTTAACTTGTTTTAGTAACTGTATATAGGTAGGTCAATTAAATTTACAGGATATATGTAAATATGGGAGTTTTTGTAATCGATGAAATTAACTTCTCCAATATTAAATTGAGTCCTACCTGTAGCGCGTGTTGAAAGCCTTTTCACAACCCGTTATTTCGCATTCGTAGGGTTTCACTTTGGTATGCACCCGAATGTGTATCTTTAAGCTGTACGATGTTAGAAAAGCTTTGCCACAACTTTCTTCAGTACATTTGAAGCGATATTCACCTGTGTGCGTTCAAAAAATTAATAATTTTACTGCATAGGCGAGCAATGCAAAACATACATAAATAAAAACTCGTTTGCTAAGAACCAGCCAAATTCAAAATGATTTGTAACTACATAACTTCTAGCGGACCTTATACAGGAGTTGACATTACTTTATAAAATTACGTTTGCAATTTCTAATTTATAAGAAAACAGACTGATATATGTCTTGGCCAACTAAAAAAAAAGGAACAGTCCAGCGCCTTGGTCTTGGTCTGCAGGCTGTATCGGAGATACACCCGCTAAATTTAAACGTAGAATACTTGGTATGGTTAAGACCATATCCAAGTCAAAAACGAAAGCACAAACTAAGAAAAAAATATCGATAACAAAAGCGATAATAAAATCGATAACAAAATCGATAAAAATATCGNGATAAAAAATCGATTACAAAATCTATCGAAAAATCGATTACAAAATCGATAACAAAATCGATTCCAAAGTCAATAACAAAATTGATAACAAAATCTAATCTAATGGATGTACAAAATCGGTAATAAATTCGATAAAAAAATCGATAAAACTATCGAT